CAAAATCTCTGTAGATGTTCATTGAAATGAAAAATAAATAAATTTTTTAAAAAATGTAATCATGTAAATAGAATAGATTATAATCCCAAAAGTTATGAAACATTGAGACTAGGATTTTTAAAAGTTTAAGAGCAGCCAGCCACCTATAGTGCAACTACGGGTTTCTACCCATTTGGAGCAAAGAGGGGTGAAGAAAATAAAAGATCATTAGTCTTTTCGACTGAGGGACCCGCCTGAGTGTCAGTCGCCACATCTCAGAGACCAGAAAAACTCTACCAGAGCAGGGCTCTTGCTTCTTCGCATAGTCAACCACAGAAGAACAGCATTTGCCTGAGAATAAACTTGGAATGCAAGAAGAGACAAGACCGAAGGAAGAATGGAAATAGGAAGCACTGGGAGGAAAGGGGAGGGATGCTGCTACAATACGGGGATTGTAATCAATGTCCTGAGACTTCATGGATATGAATTATTAACTGGAAAACTAATTTGTTCTTTAAACTTTAACTTAAATTACAATAAAAGATTTTTTAAATATTTTTAAATGTAAAAAATTTATTTTATTGGGGTTTTTTTTTCCCCCTCTGTGACCTAAGGATTTTGCCTTCCTACTTTCTTCTCAGAATCAACTTATAAGAGCTGCTACAAATCTCCTGGAACTACAGTTTTTGTGTGACCTTGCAAAACACCCCTTCCCTTCCTTTATCCTCTATTTCCTCATTTATAAAATGGGAAAGTTCAACTGCCAACTTTTGAGGTCCACTGCTTCTTGAGATTGTAAAATGTGGAGAAATCTAGAAATATGGATGGTGGGTTGTTCAGCTGATGGAATTTGACCTCTTGCTATCTGTGTGACTTTAGCCAGTATATCTTTTCTACTCCTTTACCTTAACTATGAAATAAAGCCAACAACATCTCTCATACTTACCTAACAAGGTTATTAAGGGGAGGAGGGTGCCACTGAGTTGTCACCAATTCATAGCAACCTTATATACAACAGGTCAAACCAGCTCTTGCCCGATCCTGTGTGGTCCTCACAATCTCCATTGTGCTTAAGCCTGTTATTGCAGACACTGTATCAGTTTATCTTACTGAGGGTCTTTTTCTCCTTTGCTGATCCTCTACTTTTCCTAACATAATATCCTTTGCCCCAAACTAGTCTCTTCTGATAACATACCTAAGTGCTCTTTGGAGGCAAGAATGATGAAGGTTCGCCTCACATAATTTGAGCATATTGCAAAGAGGGGCTATTCCTTGGAGAAGAACATTATGCTGGGAAGGGTGGAGGGTTGGTGAGGAGAGGAAGACCCTCAACCAAGTGGGTTGACACGGTCACTGCTTCAGCGGGCTCCTGTGTGTCAGGAAGTGTGAGGAAGGCGCAGGATAAAAGAGTTTCAGATCTTTTGTTCACAGGGTCGCTAAGAGTTGTATTTGACTGGGGTTCTAGATCTGTGGCCTCCAGATGTTGGGGTTCTCTGAGGGACCAGGGAAGTGCTGATGTGTAAGTACTAACTTATGAGTTTGGGGCTGAAAAATAAAATCCTAACCTCCACAATGA